TAGCATGAATGCACATAAAACCCGGGCAAAAGTTCAGTGAAGAGTTGCATTAGTCACAAGCCTGTGTATTTCAAGAGCAAATGGGTTTGTCTCTTTAAACTGCATACCAACCTTATCTGAAAAATGTAAATTCTACTGCTAAAAGCACATTCCTCTGAAATCAGATGAGGGCTTCATTACTCAGAGCTGGTTGTTTCCATATTCAGTTAATGAATTTTCCTCAGTAGAAAGGAGGAAAGGGAGCCAAAAAAGTAGGAAAACAGGCTTCTGCACACAGATCCCCCACGTTCTTTAAACCACAGCAAAACCTACTCTTTGCAGCAGACCCTGGCTGTTTGCAAAACTAATTGCATAGTCTGGGTTGCCAGGATCATGGAACAGCCAGTTGGGAAGCTTTAGCACTTAGGTTAGGTAGCTTGGAAAATTCCAGAGAATGTCAAAAATCAATAGAAGATGACTTTGCAAATAAGACGAGGTTTTAACTAGTTTGCTGAGGAAAAAAATGAGTTCTTTCTTTAAGTCATACAGTGTTGTTTAGATTTAAGTTTATAGTAGCTTCAAATAAACCAAAGACAACAATGGATGGAAAAATGTAAATTTGAGTTGTTTTCTGAGAAAATACATCTAGTAAACTACATGGAATGTGACCCTCAATCTACTGTGGTAATATAATCTTTACTGGCAGGGATCATAAAAATTAGAGTAAATTTTCAAAAGTGGCTGAGGACACAAAGCTGCACGTTGGAGAAGAAATGACCTGTTGATAGGGCTCTTTTGAGAGTTCTTTTGGCAGGTACCCGATTAATCCTCCCATTTCACATTCCTCCCCAGCAGGTCACCTAAATGACATCGGAGGGGAATTAGTTCCCCTTGCCCTCAGAGCAACCTAATTCCTCAAGCAGTGAATGGCTTTAGCAAGGCAAATAAAACACATTCTTTTCAGTTAAGCAAAACTGTGTACCTGCAACAAATGACTGTAACATTCAAAATGTATAACAAATAGCATATACTCAGACTCTAAAACAGGTCGAAGAACATGAAAAATCCATCAAGAAAATGTAAATATATATATATTTTTTTAAATCAACTTATTTTAGAAGGTTATGCAAAATTATTTGGTTACCTAAATTAATTACAAATATAATAATAATCACTTCTGCATAATCCTTCTCTTAGTCTTCCAATTTCAGGCGACTACATTAATTTTGTATTATAAATTAATCTTCAGCAAGCATCCAAGTCCAAGCTACCCATAAACAGAGTGTGATTTCACCCCATCTTTATTGGAAAGCACTTTATTTGAGGCAACACTGAACATTTTTACAAGTTATTTACTGCATTACAAAGTAGTACCTTTGAAAACATTTGTAGTATGTATTTAAATACCTCTTGTATCTTAGTATAAATACCATAAGAGACCAAGCAGCACTTCTGATTTCATGTTCATCCCCACTACAATCAGTAGGGCTAACAGTGGATTCACCAGGAGCCGAAGCTGAACCTAAATGTTCATCTGTTGTAGCTGACAGGACATCAGGGACCCATTTTTTATTACTTTATCCAGAGTAGAACACTTCTTTCTGACTCTTCTCCTTTTGTAGACTAACAACAGTTCCAAGAAACTAGACTGTAGTGTAATTATGACTGTATGATTCTGCACTTGCCACAACAATAAAATTAGAGTGGTGTGCTGTTAAAAATATACATCTTCAAATATAGCTAGTAGAGACCTAGTAATTCCTTATTTCTAACTACTTCACCACATTTGTAGACCCTCTGGAGAAAGTCCAGTGAAGAGCTACCCATGGTAGATAGTTTTCTGAACTGCTGATTTCCATCTCTGAGCAGCAGGAGCCTGACTGTCCTTGTTTCCTTGTGTATCTGTCTTTTCCTGCACCTGCTCAGTACTGGCCAGGCTGGCTGTGCTGTGAGGGACTGGGAGTTGTGCAGTACTCATTGGGTAGGGAAGTTTTCCAGTTTCTTTTGTATACCCTTAAAAAGTACCCTTAAAAGGTTATGTGTTATCCAAATTGAGGTTTCAGAGTAAAAATGGGGAAGAGGTTGTTGTTGGCATGTGGTTTGGACCAAGGGTAGCAAGCTTTTGTAGTAAGACCTTGTTTTTCACCCAGAGGGCAGTTGAGCACTGGAACAAGCTCCCCAGGGAACTGGTCACAGCACCAAGCCTGCCTGAGTTCAAGAAGCATTTGGATGATGCTCTCAGGCACATGGTGTGATTCTAGGGGTGCCCTACACAGGGACGGGAGTTGGCCTCAATGATCCAGATGGGTCCCTTCCAACTCAGCATCTTCTGTGACTCTATGAAACTCTGACTTGAAGATACACGTAACAATTACTCAGTATTTAAGCTATACTTTCCCACCAAGCACCTCTCCTTCAAAGCAATTTCCCTCCTTCATGCTGTTACAATGTAGTGAAGAAATACAGCTCACAACTGAAACAGAAGACACAGAAATCTGCCTCTGGAACTGCTTATTGACTTAATAATGAATTTACTGTTTTTAAAACCTTTATCTAGCTAGCCAGCCTTCACAGTGTTTGGATTTGCCTTAGGAATATACAGATTGTACCTTCTCTCCCCTACAAGAAGGTGTTACGAAAAGGGACAAGGCGCTGAAAACTCAAGAAGACCTAATCATGCATAATCTGTCCTTTTTCAGTGCAGATGATGTTATGGAGTGATGCCTTGAAACTTCTATGCTTCTCTTAATACAGCAAATACCAGCCAAATATTCTACGTTTCCCAACTCACAAGTATCCTGCATTGAAACCAAAAATATAAATAATGTTGCTTTTTACGTTTCATTAATGTAAGAAAAAAGTACTGTGAATTTTGCTCAAGTCCATTCTCCCCAGTGGAATTATTAATGAATGGCACTGTATAAGGACTTGCAAAACAGAACATTTTATGCTAGAAGAGACAGGATTTTCGCTGTTCAATTCAAAACCAAGTAAAATCAAATTATGACAGAGAAGCTGGAAATTCCCATTCCAAATATAGGCAGGCAGAACCTTCTCTGCAGTAATTTAAAAACAGCTTGCTTCAATCCAGGGGTAATGACTAGCCCTAGGTTTTTTAAGGGAAGGTTGGGAAGTGGGAGAGGGTTTGGATTCACTGAAATGGTAAATAAAAATACACACAACATTGAAAAGTTATGCTAAACATCATGCTTTTTATTTTTTTGGGAAAGAGCAAGAAAATAGCAGTACTTCAACAGACTAGAAAAAGCCTCATCTAAATACAAAAAGCACCGCAAATTATATTCAAAGCTGATACATTCTTAAGTCAAAGCATAAAGTTGCATGCACATGTGTGTATATATCATACATATATATATATGCATGTATACACACACACACACACACAACTTTTAAAATACAGATGTGGCCACTTGGTTTCTCTATGTTTGCCTTATCATTCATTTTAGTTTTAGGCAAGTGAAGTAATCAGATGAGAATTAATATTAAAAAAATTATAACCATTGCCACAGACTAGATGAAGAACTTCTACACATACACAATTACAGCACAGTATTTTACTTCTCGCCTTTTTTTAGGGGGAACGCAGAAAAACTCCACCCTGGAAATGTTTTGGCTCTTAGCTTTTATCACTGCAATATGCTAGACTTGGCTAAAAACTAAGAGAGGAGCTACCCCAGGATGTGATCTCCAATTCTTTCTGTAAACCGTGTGCATGCCAGACATGAACCATGCAAAAACCCTTTGAGATTTTAAGCCCTTAATTATTAGCTTGTGTCAAGATTCAGGCACTGTGCTTTACAGCAATCTTTAAAGTTAAGAAATTAAAATTGCGTTGGGAGCCGATTTTACTTAAAAGAGAAAGGGTGAAGACTCAGATAGTTGGCAATTCATTTTCCAAGCTGATTAAGCATCACATGTACACAATATGAAATAATAAAAACTTAACTGAGTGCTTTAGGAAATTCTGAAAAGAAAAATAAGTTATACTTCAAAGAACAAGTTAGTATAAAAAGTTTTAACATATGCAAAGTATGTGCTCAAAATACTTATTTTGCATTTTTAAAAAGAGCTGTAATCTACCTTACAGAAACAAAGTTCATCCAGTATAAAATATTGCAATTTGTCCCATTGTGTCATATGAGAGGTTTCTTTATTCTTCATATGATTGAGAACGCTTGCAGAAGAGTTCATGTTATTCCAAGCCACATAGTGGCAGACAGACAAAGTTTGAATCTGTGCTTTTACTATGCAGCACAGTAAAGGCTTAAGCAAACCATTTCAGCACAGAGTTTAGCAGGTCAAAGAGCTATGTCGATGCAAGAAATCCAGACAATAGTATAAAAGTTAATGCCAAGTGGCAATACCAAGAAAGTGAATTAGATCAACAGAAAAAAAAATTGCTGATAAGATTCACCATCACATGTACAGCTTGTCAGCTAGGAATAAGGAAAACTCAAAATCAGCACAAGGAGAAAAGTAAACTGTGTAAACAATTTGCCCAGTATAATACTGGATACAGTTGGTAAGAGCAGAACTAGCTTAGTAGGGCTGAGGATGTACGTGTATCCAGATGCCTATTCAAAATATATTTACCAATACCACTGACCAAAAAAAAAATAAATCACCTATAGCTATTTACATTGCAGCAGAGGCTTCCCTCCCCCCTTACAAAGTTATTACAACTCAAGAAGTCGCTGCCGTCTTCTACAATTAAAATTCCAGTTATAAGCTACCAACGTTTGTAAGTTGAAAACACCCACCTGGCAAATTAAATTGAAAACTCGTGTCAAGCACATCTGAGAACTCTTCAAAAGTTAGAGTACAGCACTTTCCTCAAGTGGTATTTGCATGAGTAACTTGTACTGACAGCCTGTTAAAATAAGTGAATTTAACACAACTTGGGGTAGCTGGGTGTTCCTCCTCAGGAAGAGGGATCCATACATATTCCAGTTGTTCTTGCTGAGGTGTGTTATAGGGAGAGAAGGACAAAAGAACCTTGGTCAGCCTGGAGGTGAATTTTCCTGCTTCTAGAAGTACTCCTCCTCTTCATCAAAAAAACCATTTTCCAGAGCGTACGTGCAGTCTGCGCTGGAGTCAGCTTGGCAGGCACCTTTGTATTCTTGAATGGATTCATACAGGGAGTACAGCTGACACAGTAATGACATATCCAGCTGCCGAAGGCCAACCTGAGGGGGAAGGAATTCAAACAAACAAACAGTATTGCAATTGTGATTTTACTGGCAATATAATGATACTATCTTCTGTTGCCATACAAGAGGATCAAGCTTCTTTCTACCTTGAACGGTTACGAAATATGGTAGTATAATTAATTTCCGAGGGTGACAGACTCCCCAAGGGATAAACTAGACAAAGAAACAAGGGACAACGTGATGCAATACAGCAGAACAGAACAT